GATAAACTACAAAATTAACAGAGCTTTCATGTTTGAGTGCATAGCACAACACCTTTCATTGTTGAAAACTGCTGAACTTTTAACAAAATCTTCATGTTGTAGTATCGAAAAACAACGTAAGAATAACAAAGAATTAGATCTAAGGTTGTTGTTGGTTACCTCCATTGAGCCAAAGAAGAAGAGGGAGTGTGTGTTTAGAACGTTGAGCTTCGACAAAGTAATAGTAGAAGGCACGACCAGCAACTTTGTCGACAGTCACATAGCCTCCATACTGAGAAAAACTCACTTGGGGTTGCCCTGGGAGTCTTCCAATTCTGTCTTTTTCTTTGAGACCCTTTTGAGAATCGACAATGCCGTCCAGAACAACCTCTTCAACCTCAAACTCAGTCCTCTCAGTTTGTGAAATTCCTTTGAAAAACATGGACTTTTGCAGTTTGTTAAGAGTTTGAAGTTGCTTATTTGCAGAGGTTTTAGGCACAAAGAATGAAAGAGTGAGAAGGGATAGAAGAAGGACACAACAAGTTCTTGCTTTGCCCATTGTGTCTTTCTGTGGAGAATCACTCAGAAGAGTGGCAAATATATATAGGAAATCTGAGAATGGTATGGGCTTATAATAAGCCAAAAAGTGGCTAGCTGTTTTGTGCCACCATCACTATAATATATATATATATATATATATATATATTGTACAAAGAAGAATAACTGCTTTAGATTTTTGAAGTTGTAAAGCAACAATCAAAACAGGGTTGAAGGGTAAGATTGAGCAACCCAAAATTGATATGATAAGCATGTGGGCCAAACTGAACCTTACCTTCTGCTTAGCCACCAATTGTGTAAGGGCACATGACAGTAGATCTTTGCAGGACATTTTTATTTCATTTAAGTTTAATTTATTTATAAGATTACCCGATATTTTAACAACTTTTTTTTAACAATTTTTTGATAATGGATGATGTGTTACTATTTTATTGATCTGTATATTTGAAATGGACTAATCACAAGCTATCAGATAGATTCTTGTAAAAAAATTGTCAAAAAAAATTGTTAAAAAATATTTTTCTTGATAAAATTAGTTTATAAGATAAAATTTGTACTAATTTTTATATTTTAAACTAATCTTATCATTAATGGATGTGAGACTTTCAACACAATAAAATTTAGATATAAAAGTTTATTAAAAAATTTATATTTATTAAAAATAAGACAAATTTATATTATACAAATAAATGTAATTTTTATTTTATCAATTATGTTTCGATTTATGGGATTGAGGGTTTGTTTCCTTATCCGAATAATCTTATACTCCAAATTTGATTGCAGTCCTCACTCAAGTCAATGATTTTGCTCAATAATTTTGTACTAAGACATGTTATGAAAACAAACCAAGTTCACTACCTCAATGTCAAACCTATTTTGTAATAAACTTATAGTTAGGTGTAACTCATTAATTACCAATCAATGACTTTTATTATTTTTATTAATTATCAATTAATAATTTTTTATTATTTTTATTAATTATCAATTAATAATTTTTTATTATTTTTATTAATTATCAATTAATGATTTTTATTATTTTTATTAATTATCAATTAATGATTTTTATTGTTTTATTAATTACTCATTAATGATTTTTATTAATTATCAATTAATGATTTTATTGTTTAAGTTAATCATTAATCAATTAATGTTCTTGATCGGTCGATCATTTACTCATCGGACACTCGTAATTTTATAAAATTGAATTAAACCTATAATTTACTAAATATATAACAATACCTAAATTATCCTGCATAAATATTTTACTAAAGAAAATTAACTTTGAACAGTGCAAGATTATTTTTTTTATTAGTATTTATTGCTTTGGTATGGCTCCTAAAGCTAAAGGTGGGTTAATTTGGTTAGGAGAAGAATTGGGTTAGTGCAAGAGAATGTGAAAAAGGAAAGAAAAGTGAAAAAAGGAAGAATCCATGTAGGAAGAGATTAAAATGTGTTAACTCTTTTCTTTTCTTGTATCTAATGATAGCTATTCAATTTTGGAATCACTTTATTTATTGAATTTAGGGTTAGGATAATAATTGTGCCCGTATGTTGACTTTTTTAAGGGTATCATTTCAATGAGTCTGCTTTTTTAATACTGATTTGCTTGAAATGATCTGTGTAAATTATGAAAATGGCGAATGGAAAAGACAGATAAAGATGGTAGAAGGAGGAAGAAAGATTCACAAATTATGCACATGCCAAGTTTTCACATTAAAAAAATGTCGAGATCAAAAAGAGTAATTCCAAATACACAAAATGGTCAATATTTAAGCTTGTCAATGATGATGCACATGGATGAATTTCTTTACTTCAATTTAGCATGACAGCCAAATTTTACATCCAAATGTTTGAACTCAATTGTTGTGTTTCTCACAAAACTAAAAATTCTACCAAATTTCTTCAAAACAAAAATTCAATCTAATGGAGATAAATTATGATTTATTACATAAAAACAAAAATTTATGACGAATCTCGCGGTTTGAAGCTTTCTCAATTTTGGTTTCTCATAAGTTAGATTTTCATGATGTGATGAAGTTCGGAGTTTGTGACTTTTTCGATTTTTGTTTCTCACATGGATTTCTGCGATTTGTTCTAGCTTTTTGATTTGTAGGCTTCTTAGACAGTAAGGTGATGGGTGACTCGTGGTTGATTTGGAGATGGTCTAACTTAATGGCTTTCGTGGTAGTTGTTAGATTTCGTTGGTAGATTTAATGAACGAACTAATACAATGGTGGATATGGAGGTGCAACGAGGTTGATGGAGATGGAGGTTCACAAAGTGATGGAGAAGATCTCGCGATTTAGGGTTCGTTCTCACTGTGGCGCAATATTCTTCACAATGTTTGTGTGCTACATGTTTTTTATGATGAAGGAGGTTGAAGGAGAACAATGGCGAAGGTTTAATGAGTCGATGGTCTATTGGTGATGATGGAAGATTTTGTGATGGTGATTTTGCGATTCACGGTGACTGTGATTTGGGGTTCAAGAAAGATAAAGGATAAAACCATGAAAGTTAGGGTTTCTGAGATTTAAGACGATAAAGTGGACAACCAAGTCAGATGAAATAGATAAGGTTATTCACATATTAATGACTTTGACAATGTATCAATAACAATTTAGACACTATCAGGAAAAAAAAATTGAACAAAAATTAAATACATTTTGAATGAAGTTAAAGACCACCATAAACAAAACTGACAAAAATAGAGACCAAAATAAATATTAAACCTATATTATAATAGACATGACATAATAACACATGGAGATCTATATTTCTTGAATTTAAAAAAAAGTGTTTTTAATATAATATTTTATTATATTATCTATTTATTTATTATTGCTCAATCACATCAACGATTGTATCTTACCTTCTTTTGTTTTATTTTCTTCTCACCATTCACTTTGTCGTGCATAATTATACAAATGCACAAATTAATGCATTTTTTTATTGTATTTAAACTCATTAGATAGTTTCTTTTTCAACACTGATTCTTCAAAAATTTGCTGGATAAGGTAATCCAGCTTCAACCTGCATTTTTCAGAATTTCATGTCTTTGTTTGGACTAAAAAACGCTTTCAAATAGAAAAAGGCAACAAACTATAAAAGTCCTTTACTAATTAAGTGGGATTCGTATCTAATAAATCACTCTTAAAATTTAATCCTAAATTGCTTCGGACAAAAGTTTAACACTGCATTCATATTTTGTGTCCGTTAATTTCAAGCTTGTAGTAGGCTTGAAGAAAAGAATGGTTCAAATTAATTATGAGCAATCACTATCAATGGGACACTTTTTTGTGTTCTTTACATTGTTTTGTTTATTTAGAAATATTCCATCACAATAATACACCTAACCAAGATTTATTTATGAGATAAAGACATAACATTCTTTACTAAAAACGAGAGACCATTAGTGATTGAATGTACTTCATAATTTAGCTTGTGTAGTTTTCTTCTACTTAATGATAGAGTAGTAATTAAATTATGACCCACATGTATAATAAGTCCAATAAATCACAAACTCCATTAGGATTTAAGGGGGGAAAAGTGTGATATCATTTATGTTGGAGATTAGGTTTGAGTGAGAGATAAATAAAATGTAAAAAAAATCATAAATTTATTGTTTTATTACTTTTAGTACAAAAAATTGTGTTATTGTTTCTATTTAAGAGGTGAATTCTTAAAAAGATGTTAACTTTAAAAAATAATGTTAGCGATGAAAATATCAAACCATAAAATTAAATTTTTAAATCTAGTTTAAGGGGGGAAACAAGGTTTATATATAATTTACTTTACTATGTTTTTTCTTTTAAGAATATTAGTCTTTATAACATTTCATCTCACATTTAATATGATAATATGAATCTACCTTTGGTGGCATGTTATAAAATCATTTTAAAGTGATTTTATAAAGGTTATATTTGTGCAAAAGATGAAAGATCTTGTTGCCCAAGAGTCAAAAAATGGTTGATACCTGGGAGAGTTTGACTAGAAAATATGAATAAAAAGTTATGTATGATACTGTCCATGTATTTGATGAGATTGAATTTTAGACTATTTAGTTGAAGAATCTTTATTCTTCTTTAGATTCTCATGTGGAACAAAATTCAAGTTTGCTAAAATAGTAAATCAATTGAACAATTAGTCAATGGGAAGGATAGTCAAGTTGACTTTTTTTTGCACCTACAAATTCTTTGGTGGTCAAATCTGAAGTATATGGGAGAGAGGCAGACAGAAATTTTTTTATAAGAATCCTTATTCCAAAACAAACTGATAAACAAAGAAAAAAAAAAGTGATAACGAGAGTTCCGATGTTCTATCTACTGTTTATTCTGATTCTCATCCACTATCCCTCAAACTAACACCAGTAACACACATGCACATTCTTTCCCAAACCATTTTGGTAGCACAAATCCTGAATCTTCCAAGGAAACATTCTATAATAGAATTCAAGTTATGCCATGTACATAGTTACAACACACAATCCATTCATCTTCATCCAAACAAAATCCCGGGCAAAACAATACATTAATCAGTCAATTTGTCTGATTTCTTCACAGATTTTAATAATTTCAATCACCTCTACAAACTAGCTAACTTCATTGCTCTAATTTATGAGAATAAAATGGTATTGCAAACAACAAACACATTGGTGGTGGTAACTTATCCAACTAAGACAGATGACAAGGGCGACCATAAATGACCACGATGCACATCAAAGTAAGTCAGCGCTATAAAACATCAGCTGTTAATTGGTATGTGGGTATAGTGTCTATCTCTGTGTCATTTATCTTTTTACAAACATATATAAAGTGAGAGTCTGGATCTTCCAGAACGAAATCTGCTGGAAGCAATCCCTTTTCTGAAAGAGGGATGGGCTCCAAGAATGATTTTCTCGATGGTGTACTACTTTCGGGCTTTTGAAATCCAGGTCTTGCTGCAAGGAATTAGAGACCATATGCATGAGAAGAACACTGAATTACAGATCCACAACAAGAAATTATAATTCTTACTGTATCTTTATATAAATTCACGAGAGCATAACCTTTTGCAAAAGAATCACCGTAATCTCAAATAAGAAATGAACTTGTGTAACAAGTTGATTGTACTATTTAAAAATCATTTAATTTTCAAATTACATTCAGCAACTGGATGAAAAATTGCTATAATTTTAATATATCATCGATTTCGTTAATTCTTTCCATGTTCAATACTATTCATCCATAAACTGCTCTTGGACTGATGATATTGCTAAATGTCACTCCTACTAACCGAGTAATGCAATCTTAATTAGTTTTTTGGCCAACAAGCCTACAAGCATAGTATCAGCTCTCCCTCGAGCATTGAAGATCTGACATTTTAGAAGACAAAGATCTTCAATCTTGCTAAAATATTTAATCATCACATAGCTTTGTTGATTATCCAAATAAGAATAAAATCAAAATAAATCTTTTTCTAAACCTCTTTTGGCCCACATTATCCAATGCCAAGAACAAAATTAAGTGTAAAGGGCCAACTTATCCACATTTAGTGGTGAATAAAACGATATTTTCTAGCTCAAGAAAAGAGGAAAAGGAATAAACTTACGGATATTATACAACATAATTTTCCAATTGAACACGGGTCTGCTTAGATGAGGCATCCTTACTGTTGGATCGCCATACGTGATCTGAAACAAGCGACTATTCAAAAATTAGCTATACTTATCCATGTAAACCAATATTTTAGCCTATATAATACAAACAAACGATAAATTACTTTAATAAAATTTATAATAAATATTTTTTAATACATTGCAATATTATCATTTAAGTTCATAAAAATAATAATTATTGAACTTATAAGTTTCAAATTAACTTACGGTAAATAATTCACACTATGATCTGGATAATTTTAAACTAAGCAAAATTTGTTTAAAAAGTTTAAATTCAATTCAAGAAGTTAAGTAAAACTCTTAGAAGCGTTTTAGTCGTAAAAAAGGTTCCTATAAACTTTTTCCGTTGAGTATGACCTCCTGAAAACACTTTCATTAAAGACAGACACCTATTCTAATTTATATAAATAGAAGATAATATTACCAAAATATAAGTCCCTCCAGGTTTTAGAAGTCTGTAAAGAAAAAAATAGGCATAATCAGTGAGAATTTTGACAAGAAGATGATCTGTTAAAAGCTTCTGTTCAAATCTCAAGATATTTATTCTCATTAAAGTCTATACAACCTACACACTTCTGCAAGCATCTGAGAAGCACTAATTGGAGCATCAGTACCACACTGAAGTACATACAAGCAAAAACGATGATTAGGACACGCAGAGAAATATAAATATATATATATATATATATATATATATATATATGTATATAATTTATTTATTTATAAATAAATTATGAGAACTATCAGTGAAGCAACATACCATCAATGAATCGAGAGTTCCTAGATCAACCATCAACGAAGCAATGGTGAAAACGTAATAACGAGACCAAAGCAGCATCAGTATAAGAATTAGGAAACATGTATACATTGTAGATTTCATTAATTTAGACAAAATTTGCATTGAATGGAATTATGATACCTTTATCAATAACACCGTCAAAAGATTCATCTGGAAAAAGGCTCATATCCCTGACATCCATCTGCAAGTCTATTGAGGTTCATGGAGGAAGCATACGTAAGGAGTTTAGGGCTTTTGAAGTTAGTTAAAAGGTAACAAACTATACAAATAAACAAAACAATGTCATCAATTAGATACATTTTAGCTGAGGTATGTACTCATATTTTCTTCTCATCATCTCAATCGCAACTGATGAAATATCAATATTTGTGATGTGCTCATAACCATCTTTGACCATATCCTCGGACATAACTGTAAAATATGACAGTATCCTTCTCCTTGTAAGTTTCTCCGAAAAATATGAATTCAATAGTTCACATATGATAATTTCATTCAAGCAAGATGGCATGGCATATGATAAGATACCGAGATAAGCCTATGAATAGCTCACAGTGAATTAATCAATAACTTGTTTCTAGCAATGTTTAAATCCCGGACAGTGGTGGTGTCTCAAGAATGGTCCCAAAATCTATAGCATGATAGCCATTGTTGTGAATTTCTTTCATGGTTTACATCTTTTTTATGGGCAAATAGTTTGCACTCTGTATACTACATATAAATAAATTCTTACAAAGAAAAAAAAAATCAAAGTTAATGACTTTCATAATTTAAAATAAAGTGCCATGGGTGCCTTAAACAAAAATACAAGTAAAATACTATAAAAAAAAATCAGATACAAATTTCCTAGGCTAGATTCATCAATCATCTTCAAAACTCAATTGGTCTTCTTTTATCGTTTTCACTAATTCTATAGCTTTTGATTCCCATTTTTAAATTTAAAATCCAAAAAATAGCCCCAAACAAAGGCCTCGGAGGAGGGCTTTTAGGAACCAGTACATACAGCCGCTATTGGTTTACTGTGGCTGCTACAGTTAGCCATTCCACCAAAGCGGGCAGGGGCCGCCCCGCCGCTATAGCGCACTATTTCATACCTAAGTTTCGAAAATAATGGAAATACAGCTCCGGTTCAAAACAGAGAGAGCTACGAACAAACTTAAATACGTATACGAGTAACAGAGAAAGAGAACTCCATCTTTTGCACTGATGAGAATGAAAACTAAACCAACCATCGCTATCCTCATTGCTGCAGTACAATTGCCTAAACTATGCTGCAACTCCCACACTGTAAAATCTCCTCTTTTTTCAGGGCAGTTATTTTCTTCCATAAATAATCTAACCAAAGCATCAAGCAATGACTTTTATTACACAACAGCAACACATTTACAGCATGCAAAGCAGCTTAATCCATCAAAGCTGCACATATTATGTGAACCACTACTTAAACTATACAAACTATACCGCAGCTTTCATTTCCAACCAAAGGCATTTCGAGTTTACTAACAAGATTCATCGTCCAAACTAATTGCCAAGGAATCCCTATTTATCCTCTCGTCCATCAGATGATCGTATCACTATCAAACTTCCAGAGCCTTGGCAATCAATGGCACAAACATGAGCTAAAAAAAATTATAATCCATCAATCGGCAGCAGCTCTCTTCAAAAGTTTCTTGAGAATGAAATTTTCTTCTCCGTTTAGAGAAACAGGAAATAAACAGAAGGATGTGCTATTTTAATTAACAAAATAAGATCCAGCGTTTGCAAGAGAAAAACCCTAAAGTAGAAGCATAGTTGGTGAAGTTACAGCAGAGAAGGAAAGAGGAATCGAAATGGAATGATTGTATTGAGCTGTGTTGGAGTGAGAACAAAGTGAAGAAAGAGAAAGGAGAAAGCTTTACCAGCATTGCCGCAACCAACCATGAGAATCCTTGAAGAAAGAGGGATGAAATTGCGCACGAACGGTCTGAGAGCAGAATAACGCTGGTACCAATCGAAGGAACCACCCTCTTGGATGTAGCGCGCGTCCCAATACAGCGCGTCGCCGTAGTTGTAGGTGTTGCAGCTAGACACATCCCTATACATCTTCCAATCTTATCTTTCTGCAGTTCGAACAGTGAGCGCGTGTGAGTGAGTGACTGAGAAATCGGTTATAGTGGTTGGTTGGTGCGTGAGACTGTGTGGTGGGAATGGAACACGGCGGCGACAAAACCAGATTTTCTTCTTTTTATTTTTTTTTATTTTTTTATTTTTAAACTATATATAGAAATGAGACTTCAAAAAGTGTGGGCCTTTTCTTGTGGGCCTTCTCCTCTTGTGCAGGTACAGATCCTTATCCAGCATTCATTCCTTCACGATTCACTTCACCATGAAAGATCCAGTATATTCATTTCTAAATTTCTTATTCTCATGCATCTGCTACAGTGTGAGGAAAAAATTATTTTTAAAATAAGTTTAGTATAGATGAAAATTCAATAATCAAATATATAATGTGTTGATATATGTGTGTGAGGGAGAACGACGTTTTTGAATTTTATATTTATACATTTTTCTATGTAAAAAATTATGGAAAATGTTATTTTGACAACAAAAGTTTGACACAATTTTGACAACGGCGACGTGGCAGCTGTGCTCTGGTTTGTTTTCAATTCACTGAGCCAATGCACAGCTGCCACGTCGCCGTTGTCAAAATTGTGTCAAACTTTTGTTGTCCAAATAACATTTTCCAAAAATTATATAGATATAACTTTTAAAATAGTTATTACATAAATTATACTCACATATCCGTATTTTTTTTTCTTAACAGTACTGAAAATACTTGGTTGGTTGAATTATTACTTTTTTCCTGTATTGTCTATTTTAAAAAATGTATATAATATTGATAAATTTAAATACTATTATGTGTAGTTCCTTTTTAACATTTTTTTATTGTTAATGTATTTGTTATTCTAACTTTATTAACAACAGTTATGCAAGTAAATAATCAAAAATTTCTAAAATGTGTTTTGTACGTATAAAGTTAAAGTTAAACAACTATACGATAAATAAAAACATTATTACCTCGTTTTCAATAAATATATTAAAAAACACGGTTGTCTTTTAAACTTTTTATTATAAAATAAACCTGTGTTTATTTAAGTTATTATTTAAGTTATATTTAATATTATAGAATAAAAATACATATTTATATTTTATACTAATCTTATAAATACAATCAATAATTTTTCAGTAACATTTAATCATATATTTAATCATATTTTAATGTATCATAAGTTTCTGATACTAAATATCTGATATCAATATATAGAAGAAAAGAGGCTGAGAAAGTAGCAGGTAAGTGAACACCGCACCGCACCGCATTGTTTGCAGTCCAATGCAACGACCAGATGAGGAAGAAACGCTGTCACCGCTTCGTAAAAACCAGTTTTTTATTGATTTCCTTTGTTTTTTATGTACCGTTTCTGAGAATTGGAGCTGAAAGTTTTCACCATGAATGAAATGCAACAACAGCAAGAGAAAAAGATTGATGGAAAGGCAGAGGATTCAAGAAATGAGAACCGACCTCCATTGATGGCTCTGAACCACGTTTCAAGGCTGTGTAGAAATGTGAAGGAATCCATAGATTTCTACACAAAGGTGCTGGGATTTGTTCAGACCGAGAGACCCCAAGCTTTGGACTTCGAGGGTGCATGGTTGTTCAACTATGGAGTCGGTATCCACTTGGTGCAGTCCAAAGAAGAAGATCAGAGATTGCCTTCCGATGCTCAGCACTTAGATCCCCAGGACAACCATATATCTTTTCAGGTATAGATTAAGTGCTAGCTATTGGAAAAACTATGACTTTGATCTTTTATGAATCTGGGGTTACTTGTTTTGTTAGTGTGAAGATCTGGAAGCAATGGAGAAGAAGTTGAAGGAGATGAATGTGAAGTTCATGAAAAGGAGTCTGGAGGAAGAAGATGGAACGAAAATGGACCAAATATTCTTCAACGACCCAGATGGATTCATGGTAGAGATATGCAACTGCGAGAATCTGAAACTCGTACCTGTTGAGTCACTCAGCAAGATCAAGATCCCGATGGATCGCCACACGCCACCCATGGAGACAAATCAGACATAGTCAAACTTTGCTTTTTCAAATGCTTCTTCATCTTGCTTCGTTAGCTTTCATGCTGAGTTTATCAGTCTCGTACACAACTAATCTTAAGTTTTAACTTCTGCTAACTTCTGCTATATAAATCTATTCTCAAGTTTAGGAAATATTTCTTACATTTATATCTTTAATGAAAGAATAATATAGATAGTTTGCGAAAGCTATAAACCTATATATGAGAAGTCTAATGACGAACGTAAACATGCTAAATGAATTTCATGATCGCAAGTTAATCCTACATACACACATATTATACATTATATTATATATATATACACGTGTGTGTGAATAATTGAAATTAAAGGATTCAAATATCATTGTGAAAGTGAAAATTTGAAATTATTTATAATTTTTTAATTTATAGTTTAGTATTTGTAGTTTGGATTAAATTAAATTTAAGTAAATTTCGTTGGATTTAATGTGGAATTAATTCAATTTAGCTTCATATAATTTTGATTTAATGTCACAAAATTTGATCTACTGTTTTTGACTTAAACCTACACAACTTAAATATAACTGAATTTGACTTATTGTAAAACTTGTTCAACTTAGTTAAATATGATTGATTCTGACCTAAGCATGGATCAGCTTGACTTGATATTGATCTGAATTAACTTAACTCTATAAAATTAGACCAATTTGACTCCGTTTAAGCTTACTCTACCCTTACACGAGTCTATCATTACTAAATTGATATACATTATAAAAAAGTAACAAATTTAAATTATATTATATAGAAAAACATTAAATATACGAAACAAGTTAAAATAACATCAATTCAAAATTAATATATTTAAATATATTCAAATTTATGTTTTTTTTTTCCAAGCTCAACGTTAAACTTAAAAGTAACAGTGCTTTTTTTTTCTGCCAATTGTGTGAGCTTCGTGCACATTATTTGGGCGAGTCTAGGTTTTGAGTTTTTGTTTCATTTTCTAATTCATAAAAAAACACAATATATATATGTGTATATATATATATATATATATATATATATATATATATATATTTATTGTGAATTTCCCCCCTTTTTTATATTTATTCTTTATTTGTTAAATGTTTCGAATTATATGTGTTAAATATTTGGTTAAATCTCAAACGATAGATATTAAATCGCAGGGAGGGCTCAAAAATGTCAATGAAAAAGTCTTTAAATTATTGCTTTTAACTTAATGAATATCTTAATCATTAATTATATTTATTAATTTTTTAAAAGTACATTTATCTTAAATTTTGTATATTTAACTGAGACGTTAAAATTAAAAACAAATATTTTATTGAATGCGATTGGTAAGGATGCATCTTTTTTATGGCAAGCAATTAATTTTATTTAAAAATAATTAATTTTATGAAAACAGTATTTAAAATGGTAAAATAGTTAAAGAATTATTTTAATTTCAAAATATTTAAATTTCATAAAAATAATTATTTAAAAATCGAAAACGACAAAGAAATTTTTTTTATTTAAAAAATATTATTACTTATAAAATTAAAAAATCATAAAAAACAAAATTTAGAATTTTATTATTAATATAAATAGTTTTATTTATTCTGTGGATAATTTTACAATTAAGAAAATAGTTAAGATAGATTTGAGGAAAATATCCAAATTTTCATCCTCTTAGTTAAGTGAATTTGAAGAGAAAAATCTTGCATTAAATTAATTTTTACTTTTTCTTGATATTTAATGCTTCGTTATGTATTGACAATATATACCTAAGACTGCAACATTCAAAGAATGAGGTGTTCGAATAATACTATTATATGTTGTGAAGTTGTGAATCAATGGGGGTAAGTAATCATTTTTGGAATTGAGGGAATCCATTAAGTAAAAATTGTTGTTTGTGAAGGAGAAATAATAACAATAAAAGCAAACAATAGTAATAATAACATCATTATTAAATAAGAACAATATTAAATAATAATAACATATTAATTTCAACTATAAAGGTAAAATAATAAACTAACATCTTAATTTATTACAACTTTATTTTTTATCAATTACATCAGTCAAAATTATCATAAAATTTTTAAAATTCCACATTCAAATCCATTCAATTTAATCTATACACCCCTTAAAAAATACAAAAAACTTTACTAATTCCATTCACTTGCTCCATCTCAAATTCATTTTAAAAAAACACACATTAATCTTTTAGAATTATGTATTGTAGTTTGGACTAAAATAACATAGATATGAATGACTCTTTTTTAAAAAATAATAAAAAATTATAAATTTGTTGGTGTTAAAAAGAATTAACCAAATATATATATATATATATATATATATATATATATATATATATATATATATATATATATATATATATATATATATATATATATATATATAATATTAACACCTTATGTATTTATGTCATCATCACATTAAATATATGCATGTTAAATTTATTTCATATAAATGCAATGACTAATTATTTTTATATAATTTTTTTCAGTGACGTAGTTAGTTTTAAATGATTTAAATCACTTCACCAAATAAATAACTTAGTGTATTGTTAAAATTTTAAATAAAACTAAATTCTTTTATTTTTTTATCTTTAATTTGAAAGTAATTTATAACAAAACAAAACTCACAAACATAACCTAACCATCAGAAACTTATACAAATTATTTGTCATAAGAAAATACCGATGTACAGCTTATCCAAAATTTTAAAACAAAAAATTCAAATTCAAATTTATACAATTTAAGTAATAAAATTCTAAATATAGATAATTTCAATTGAGTATATAAATAAATAAGATTATTTATGTTCTTACATAACTTTAGGTCAAGGATATTTGTTATCAAGTTTTTTAATTAATGTATAAAAATAATATTTTTAGGTTTACATAAAATAATTTTTTTTAATTTAGAGAAGATAGATTTAATTAAGATTAAGTAATTATATGAGATGAAAGTGGATTAGAGAATTTCAATCTCAAATAGTTTCATATGAGAGGCTAAATGCACACAAATACCATACGTGTCAATCCCTAATTGGCGGTGCCACAGATTCGTGTTGCACCTTGTAGGAAATTATAATCCAGTGCGGCGTGTACTACTACACCATTCCAAGACCTGGATTAAACGGTTGTACGTTAGAGACAAGACCACCCTTCAAAGCCCAAAGTGTGTCACAGCGAGTGTATCTATAAACTTGAAACAACAGTTTTGACAACGCAAAATAATTTGTAGAAAACACGGTGAGAGAAGAAAAAGGGTGGAACAAGCACAACGGGGAGAGAAAGAGAGAGAGAGAGAGTGGTTCTTCTCACTCTCGCATTCCATAGATCAGATCCAAACACTCACAATTCCTAGATCTATTTCCGCTCTCCGCCCGACCTCTGAAATTTCTGATTCGTGATTTCAATTTCGTGTTTTCGCTGCAATTAGGTTTTCGGAGATCGAATGGCGTGCATAAAAGGGGTGAATCGATCGGCGTCGGTAGCGCTGGCGCCCGACGCGCCGTACCTTGCTGCCGGGACCATGGCTGGCGCCGTTGATCTGTCATTTAGCTCGTCCGCAAATCTAGAGATATTCAAGCTCGATTTTCAGTCGGACGATTCGGAACTGCCTGTCGTCGCCGAGTGCCCGAGCTCCGACCGCTTCAACCGTCTCACGTGGGGGAAGAACGGTTCTGGCTCCGAAGGATTCGGTCTCGGCCTCGTCGCTGGTGGGTTGGTGGATGGCAACATTGACATCTGGAATCCTCTCACTCTGATCCGGTAATGGACCTTTCTCTCACGTGTTGCTTTTGTTTTGAAATTGGACATGATATGTGTCTGTGGAGATTAGAGTTTCTAGGGTTAGATGGCCTGGTATCACTGGTTGAGTAGTTTTTGAAATGCATGAATTGGAGCAACAATTCAACATCCAAGATTAGGGGATGAAGCTCTGGAATTTTTTTATTGGATGATACAATTTTTGATGCAATTAAAATTAACATTCAAAATCGAATTGCTGTTTTCTCATTATGAATAATAATAAATATAATAATAATAATAATTATTATAATTATACTTTTTGGTATAGTACAGTGGCCATTTTCATTTGCTGCTTTAGCATTATTGAGTTAGAATAGTAATTTAAGAATACATTATATCGCGTACTGTTTGCATCCCCTTTTTTCTTCTACTTAATGAAGAAAGAATAAAGATTTCAGCCGGAAGATCATACCGAAGAAGCAGGGAGGTAAGGTATCTTCCCAAAGCATCAAATGCATCAGGTGGAAAGAGATGACCAACCCTTTTGTTAATACATAGCTTAGTTCTTTTAATGCTGTTCATTATATTTTGAAAGTGTTAGAATTGTGGAACTTTGTGTTTATGTTCCTTCACTCTCCTAGCGAGTGTGATGTAGTGGTTTCTCTGTGTAAGAAAATTGTGGAAGAATAGGAGATGAAGGTTTCCTAAAAGTATACTAATTCTGATGATTGATTCCTGAATTTTACATCCTTTGTGCAGAATTACTCAAATATTTTCATGTAAATGCAATGTGAACGTCTTTCCCTCAATTTTAAGTCATCTTTGCCTTTCAAATTTTTTAAGCTGAGCAATCATAGATGGATGCGTTGTCTGTTGATGGAAGTGTTTGGCAATCACCTAGATCCAAGCTATGCCAGCTCAAAATCTAGTTCTCTTCAAATTTTAACATTATAGAGTGGTTGTCACGAAAATAGAGAAAGGCAATAATTTCTGTTGGAGCAAACAAACTGTGCATAACTGATAAATCATTTTTCAATTTTGAATATTTTGGTTCATCGCTTAATTCAATGAAGTTATGATTTTAGTTTCGTCTACTATTTTTACTCTGTTCATCCAATGAGTTTATTTATTTTGGCATCTTTTCTCAGCTCGGAGTCAAATCAAAGTTCTCTTGTTGGACACCTTGTAAGACATAAAGGACCAGTAAGTTCTGCTTTACTTTTATAAGCCAACCTGATAAGTTTTAAATTTTCAATGTTCTTGACCATGTGTATTGTTCACTTAATTTAAAATCCTATACTGAATATTTTTATGTTTCAGGTTCGTGGTCTTGAATTTAATGTCATTGCACCAAATCTTCTCGCATCTGGTGCTGAGGATGGTGAAATTTGCATATGGGATTTGGTCAATCCTTCAGAGCCTACACATTTTCCACCACTAAAGGTCGGAGATTTTTCCCTTGAGAGTGTGCATGTTACATACATTTGCCCCTGTTTTGATGGATTAATAGGCTGTAATCTTCAGATATTTGTCTTTTTAATTTAATAATTTTCACACATTTAGTGTATATGATAATGGTGCAGAGTACTGGCTCTGCTTCCCAGGGAGAAATTTCATTCTTATCTTGGAACAGTAAAGTCCAGCACATATTAGCATCTACTTCATATAATGGGACCACAGGTGATGCACGAATTTAATCTACTCTTTATATTCTGTTCTGAATTTATGTTTGGTGGAAATTATATATATTTTGGTTCTATTTTTCTAGTGGTCTGGGACCTGAAGAAGCAAAAGCCAGTGATAAGGTAACCTGGTTGCTCATCTTCTGCCTTTCTTTTAGGAAGAAGTTTGGTATTCTATATCCAAAAATTATAACCTTATGTATCATTTGTAATCTGACAGCTTTGCAGATTCGGTCAGAAGGAGATGCTCTGTTTTGCAGTGGAATCCTGATGTTGCCACACAACTTGTTGTCGCATCAGATGAAGACGGTTCTCCTTCTTTGAGGGTATGTTATAGTTACTGCAAATTATTTGTCTTCTTATTTCAAGGATTGTATGCATTGACCTTATATGAGCATGTTGATCCAGCTTTGGGATATGAGGAATATAATTTCACCAATAAAGGAGTTTTCGGGACACACTAGAGGTAATGGAACCTGCTATTTTGTGTATAATTCTTGTGGTGATCTTTGTCAATGCTCCTTTTGTATGTTGGTGAACTTTATTTTTCTTAATTCCCTCCATCAGTTATCTTTTAGTTAAAAGACCAAAGCATGTGAGCAAGTACTGTTAGCTGTGGAGCCGGCCTGGGTAGATAATTGGACTTTTGGGTAGATTTTCATGTTCTCTTATTTTTCTAAATTTCTATGAATTATTCAGAAAGAGGAGGGGGAATTGGGGGGTGACATGGTGCTAGGAAGCTTCAATATAGCTGGTGACATGGATACCATATGGGCACAACTTTGACATAATGTCAATTTAGAAACTTTGGGAAACGACATGACTTGGTTATGGTATAATATATGGAAATAATATTAGTATTAGTTAAAAAGAACAAGCTTAAATTGGAAGAGAACTAATATTTCTTTTCATGAGTGAATAGAATACTGTTTGTTCAATTATATAATATTTCTACTTTTATTCGTGTAAAAATGAAAGTTCTCACAAATCAAAGTGGAAAAATTCCAAGATGTGAGTAGGAAATGTCCTTGAAGTGTCATACTGATACACGTTAGATATGAATATGATGTCTATTTAGAAGTTTCCTTACTTCTATTATGCCTTTTATATTCCTTGTTTGGAAACACTGCAAAAGCACTTCACTAATGTGCTTGGACTGGTATCCATTCATGTACATTTGTATGGTTGATTTTATTATATTATATAGTGCACAGTATAGAGCCAGTGTTGCCAAAAGGTGCCTGAATTGGGCAATTTACTTAAAAATCAAGGTATAATAAGTATATACTTATCAAATCCCTCCAAAAACTAGATGGTAGTCCGCTTTCCTTTCATTTTGGCAATTGAGCTACACCCTGGTAGGCATCTTGTATGATTTGGTGATAATTTTCTTTTTACTTGTATATTTTGTTATCTCTGCTGTGCTCTTCCTTTGTTAAATCTGTGTTTTATGGCTCTTGCTTTTGAACTAAGTATAATGTATTGTAAGATTGTCATGATTCTTGTTGAATTTTTGAGCAGATGGATGATAGCGTGAGGTTGTGATTTGTGATTTATAGTACTCGTAGTTTTATTTTGAAGCTATAGTCTCTTTCACTGTTTTTTAGTCTATCTGATTTGGTTTTGTTGCCTGAATTTCCCATATTAGGTGTGATTGCAATGTCGTGGTGTCCCAATGATAGCTCTTATTTGCTTACCTGTGGTAAAGATAGCCGAACTATATGCTGGGACATGATTTCTGGAGAGGTGGTGTTTGGTCTTTTTTACCCATCTCATATTCTGTTTGATGAATTCCAGAACTTTTATTACATTGACCTTTACATTTATAGAACTTTTGCTCATTGATGATGGTTTGTTTGGGTGGGGTGGGGCTACAGATAGCCTACGAATTGCCAGCTGGGACCAACTGGAATTTTGATGTGCATTGGTATCCTAAGATACCTGGAGTAATATCAGCATCTTCCTTTGATGGAAAAATTGGTATATATAATATTAAGGTACAAGTAATTTTGGTGGTTTATTTTTGTTTTGGTGAATTTTCACCTGATTTTGTTTGGCAAGTATGTGGAAGTCTGCTTTAAAGTTGTAAAAATTCATTTGGAGTGTAGGTGAATTGGACTGATACAAGAAAGTGACATGGATAAGGAAATCTTAGATTAGTTGTGGCTAAATTTTATTCACTATATTTATATTGGTCATAAATACAGTAGATAATTGTTATAGTGTCAGCATGAAGAAGTAGTGGTATAAATTGTATGATGAATTAATATTTTACTCTACAACATGTACAAGTATTTATATGGTTTACGAATTAATATTTTATTCTCTACAAATACAAAGTTTACATAATTGGATATAATATAATGATCACATTGTTCCTCATTATTCTCCGTCTCATTCTTTATCACACCAATCATGTTGTAACAATAAGTATTTTTTTTTTGTTGAATTCATAGACATGACCCTGATTGTCAATTATAGACTGCATTGTGGAAAATGCTTTTTTTTTCATGTATCTTTTCCCCATGATCTTATTTTCATTAAATCACTCTTCAAGCAGGTGAGTATTTGCCTATAATCAATTTTTGACATTGAATTGGACCTTTTGTCAAAACCTGTTTTGCTTAGACTTGGTTTAATTGGGTTATTCATTACCGTGTTTTTCACGGAATTAGACTTATGTTTAATTTTTCCTTTTTAAGTCAAGTTAGACAAGAAATACAGTTTAAAAATGTAAGCAATTTTAAATTTGTTTTTCCTATTTTTAGTTTCCTTTTGGTATAGCAATAATTTGCATTTCAGATTCTCTTACTTTAGATCTGTAATATTTGTAATTATATGCAGGGTTGCCGTCAAAGTGGTGCTGGGGAAAATGATTTTAGTGCAGGTGATACTTTTTTCTTTACTTGTATGAAATTATTCATACTAGCTATTATAATTTTTTATATATCAACTGTACGTGACATACTAAAAAATCTTCTACGGATATTTCCTTTCTGTGCAGTACCACTGAGAGCACCAAAATGGTACAAGCGTCCTGCTGGCGTGTCTTTTGGTTTTGGAGGCAAACTTGTGTCTTTTCATCCCAGGGCATCTTCCACAGGTTCTCCTGGTGCTGGTGCTTCGGAGGTAAGGTTTTAGTGCTGTAATCGTATTTATTTAGCAAATTCTTAAAACTTTTTGCTGAATTCATTCTACAACTGATTTTCTAGGTTTATGTGCATAATTTGGTCACTGAAAATGGTCTAGTGAGTCGGTCTTCTGAATTTGAAGCTGCCATACAGAATGGTGAAAGGTCTTTGTTGAGGGTTTTATGTGATAAAAAGTCACTGGAATCAGAGTGAGTTCCATATACTCAGTGCAATATTGTCTCGTGATCTTTCTTTTTGATGTCTAACCTTTTGACTTTCTGAACAATGCTGATAATTTTTTTATGTTGTTATAGATCTGAGGAGGAAAGAGAAACATGGGGCTTTTTAAAAGTTATGTTTGAAGATGATGGGACCGCACGGACAAAACTCCTCTCACATCTTGGCTTCAATGTACCTAGTGAAGCAAAAGAAGTTAACGATGATCTTTCCCAAGAAGTAAATGCACTTGGACTGGAGGATACAACTGTTGACAATGCTGGACATGTGGCTACTAATGAATCAGTTAATTTCTCTGCTGATAATGGAGAGGATTTCTTTAACAACCTTCCTAGTCCAAAAGCTGATACCCCTTTATCTACATCTGCTGGCACTTTTGTTGTTGCTGAAAATGCCAATGGTTCCGAGAAAATTCAAGATGATGCAGAAATGGAAGAAAGCAGTGACCCTTCATTTGATGACAGTGTTCAGCATGCTTTAGTTGTTGGGGATTACAAGGGGGCAGTTATGCAATGCATTTCTGCAAATAAATGGGCAGATGCATTAGTTATTGCTCATGTTGGGAATGCTTCCTTGTGGGAAAGTACACGTGATCAGTACCTTAAAATGGTCCGATCACCATACTTGAAGGTAGCTAATGATGGCATTATATAAACTGTCATTATCTAACAATTTCTATCAAATACCTACCTGATATTTTGGTTTTTACTAATCTTGTGTATTTGTGTGTTATTGTCATTTTCAGATTGTATCAGCAATGGTGAGCAATGATCTGTTGAGCTTAGTGAACACTAGGCCCCTGAAATTCTGGAAGGAAACCCTTGCTCTTCTTTGTAGTGTAAGTCTTATTGGTCCTTGCTGCTAGTCAATTTTTTTGGTTGGAATTTGAAGTGCTGAAATCGTTCTAGTGTGAGGAGTTCTAGCAACCACTCTTTTCTATTGATTGGAAATCGCAAAATTTAGTAAGCCCTACTTCTGGATTATCAGAGAGAATAGAAACTCATAACATGATAATTGGTGGGATCTACCAAATTTTGTGATTTTCAATGAATAGCAAATAATGCTAACATTATTCTCTTCTATGATTCTTGTTATTTTAACATGATAAAAGAAGTTAGAGTTACCTAATGAAGTTTTATCAGCTTTTCACTGTCACTTGCTCTTCTTTCTTAATGTACCCTGGTTTTCTTTGATACTTTATTATTTCTTGTTAAGATTTTGCCATCTCTAGAATTACTGAATCTTGAAAGCCTGCTTCAGTTCCCTTTCTCAATTTGTCTTTTAACTACATGTCTTTGTATTGTTGTTACTGGATCAAGTTGAGTCCAAAATTTCTCTTATAGTACAAATTAGAAAAACGCCATATTAGCCATTAATTTTCATGATTGAGGTTATTTTGTATTGCACTCATTATTCATGTTATCAAATATTAACAGTTTGCTCAGAGAGATGAATGGACCATGTTATCAAATATTAACAGTTATCATTACTTTTTGTTTTCACCGTTGCAAAATTGCCACTTAGCATTATTAAAACTTGTAAATTGACATAATTATATATTGTTAGGATTTAATGGAAAAGACTATTGTCCTTGCCTTGGCAACTGGGCAGAAGCGGTTTAGTGCTTCTCTATGCAAGCTTGTTGAGAAATATGCTGAAATTTTAGCTAGTCAAGGGCTATTGACTACAGCAATGGAGTATTTAAAACTTTTGGGTTCTGAAGAACTGTCGCCTGAACTTACGATTTTGAAAGATCGAATTGCACTTTCTACAGAACCTGGTAAAAAGTTAATTGGACACAATGGGATGCTGATTGTTAGCTAGTGACATTTTGCATGCTGAGTTTTTTATTAGAACAGTGATATCATTATAATGTTATGAATAAACTTGGTATAGAATATTTGTGTGTTGCTATTATAGTATGATGTGATTTTGTACTTCCAACCAAATTTTGCTGTGTTTTTGGAGAAAAAGAGGGTTTGGGGGGGGAGGGAGGAGATATTGCTAGCAACTGAAAGAGGAGTTCGTGGTAGAAAAAGTATTTCTTGTTTTAGGAAGACTCGATCCATCTAGTGGTTGCTTAACTGCCACTCTTTGAACTTTCTTAATGAATATTGGAGTGTTTAATTGTTTATAAACTCAATGGTTTTACCTATGGTTCCTTTTTTGTAAATGCCATTTCTATCATTATTCTACTTTAAAAACTAGTCACTGTCAAATCACATATGGTATCTAGAGCTGCATTTCAGTTAAATCAATGTTAATCGTAAGGCCGAACACAATACTCTTTTTTTTTTTGTAAAGGATTCTTGATTGAAGAGACCTATGTACAAAATTCAGCTTCTTGTTTTTCTATTTTTGTCCAATGTTGAAGCTTTCTGTATACATGTCTTTTCTTCACTTTTTGTTTCCTTTTCAAATGGTTAATTGCTTGCAGAGAAAGAGTTCAAAACCGCTGCTTTTGAAAATACTCAAGCACATGGTGGGTCCTATTACGGTGCCGATAATTCCAATTATAATAGAAATTACTATCAGGTAATTTTTGTTCTTTGGCATTTTTTTGATGCAATAAGTACTCTCTTTCTATGATNGGGGGGAATAGATACTTTCTTTAAAGCTCTTTTAGAGACATCATTTTCACTTTTAAATTAGTTGAGCTGAACATGCTCTTAAGTGAGTTTTGACTCCAAATGGTTGATTCTTGAGTAGAAAAGTTGCTTCGGAATGTAATTTCAAATTCAAGTGGTGGCAATGCAACCATTTCCTTGATATGCCAGAAGAATGTTTGAAATTTAAACTTTGGCTATGATACATGGTCGTTAATATTTGGGTTTGGAACATTCTTATTTAGTTTTGTTACCAGTAGATGGTGCAATGAGGGAAATTCATGCTCTGTCACCCTTGTATAATCTTGGATTTTGGTTTACCGTGTTTTAGTTGCAAATTCTAATAAGATTCAATGTTATATTCCATCAAAAATTCAAATTGTTTTTTATTTGTACTTTTTCCCTTGTTGCTTTCTTAAATCTAAATATTTGTTGTAGCTGAATTTCTCAAGTACTGTTGTTGCACCACCTCCTTTGAGAACTTTTGATCCTCAAACTCCTCCCGTGCTTAGAAATGTGGAGCAGTATCAGCAGCCAACATTGGGTTCTCAGTTGTATAATGTCAGTCAACCTTTTTAATTTCAATTTTGATATTATCAAGTGCTTGAGGCTACCTGAGGATTAAGCCGATATTTTGTCTATTTCAGACAACCACCAATCCACCTTACCAGCCTACACCCTCTGCTACATCACAAGTGGGCTTGGGTCATGGCCACAACCTGTCTCAAGTTGCTGCCCCTACACCAAATCCAATGGGATTCATGCCAGTCCCCAGTTCTGGTGGTGTCCAAAGACCTGGGGTGGGATCAATACAACCACCCAGTCCCCCTCAAGTGCAACCTGTGCAACCAGCTGCCGCTCCACCCGCTCCACCTCCAACTCTGCAGACTGCTGATACTTCAAAAGTACCTGGTAATTGTTTTGTGGTATCCTGGAATTTGACATTGACTAAATTAAACCTGAACTTTCCTGTGCTAATTTTACAATTGGGTCACTAAACATCTTATATTCTACTTTTTCACTCATCATCTTTGTTGCACTATTTGCTTGCTTTGACTATGGCAGGGCATCAAATGCCTATTGTCACAACATTGACAAGACTCTTCAACGAGACATCAGATGCCCTGGGAGGTTCCCGTGCAAACCCAGCAAAGAAGCGGGAGATAGAAGACAACTCGAAGAGACTTGGTGGGTTGTTTGCCAAGTTGAATAGTGGAGACATTTCCAAAAATGCTTCTGATAAGCTCCTTCAGCTTTGTCAGTCATTAGACAATGGTGATTTTGGTACAGCCTTACAAATTCAGGTAACAGTTGCAATTTGCAAATGTAAATTATTGTATTTGCCTATTTGAAGAGCTTGCATCGTATTCACATTCTATCTGTTTTACTCGTGTTGCAGGTTCTTCTCACTACTACCGAGTGGGATGAATGCCAATCCTGGTTAGGTTCACTCAAGCGGATGATCAAGACAAGGCAGAGCGTGAGACTAAGTTAAAAAAGTTACAGATTTCATTTTACTGATTTTGGAAAATTTTCGTGTGATTAGCGTCTTGCAGCAGTGATTGCTTATCCTCTCATCTATGTACACAGACTACTGCCATCACTAGATTTCAGGTGCAGGGGTTTTGATTCTATGTGCTTCTACAATTTCTTGCTGTGTCTGCAGCTTTCACATCGACTGTTATTAAAAGCTGTTACTGAAGATAGTTTTCAGGAAATGATCAGAAAATTTAGCAGATTGTTTTTCAATCGATATTTGTAATATGAAGAACAGTGTTTTTTCTGTTTGTTTGACCTAAACTTCCAGATGGTTTTTTCCTCTCACCCTTCTGGTACCGTTGACGCTCCAAGCTCCATTTTTAGATCGATGTTTCCTTTTTCTTTTTAAAGAAATATTTTGTATCACTCTAGTCATATAAGTACTGATTGATCGTCAAACAGGTGAATAATGTAGCATCATGTTTATTTAATCATCCATCATTTAATTTCTCCAAGTTGTACACGTGATTTTCTCGCACTGGTTCCTACTGGTTATCCTGGTTCGTTCATTTTGCTTAGGCATAATGCATCACATGGTAGAGAAGAAAAGGTAAAAATGATCATAAAAAGATTAATAGTAAGGAAAGTTGATATTATTTGTTGTTGATATTTTGTTTACTATTGTTTATTAATATCAAGACTGTTTATTGTAATAATAATGAAAATAATATAAGGAATTTGAGTAAATGAATTCAAACATTATTATATCGCGGATATGAATACTAATACACAAGTTGAATATATTGTTGTTGGTTGATAAAGGAATTTTGAGTAATGCGGGAGTTACTTGATAGTAAACCAATTAGCATTAGACATTCTTTAATAGATAATCTTGAGTAGGGCTGAAGTTCTTCGGCAAGTAATGAACATTAAGCCAAACAAATTCTCAATAGAAATATAAAATGGGATCTAGGGTTGTTCATTCTATTTTCTTGTGGATTTAAGATAGGGAGGTGCTAAACCAATTAGACTACGAATAAAAGAAGGTCTACTACCATGATACGAAGATGCTAAGAAAATATAAATACCCCATTTAGAGTTCAATGCCCTGAAAGCTATAAATAGTCACTTGATGGTGCTATCATATCATATTACATCTTAAAAGAATAGCTGTAGCGTTTGTGGATAATGTTTATGGAATCATAGCTCAGCGCTAACTTGAGTTACATACGATAGTGACTACCGCAAAATGACCGGAACGTGAAAACGAGAGCACGTTGGACGGAATGATGAGGACTCACCAAAGAGATGAAACCGCCTAAGATACTCAAGACTAAGGACAAGCATTAGAGAGAAGATACAAGAAGAATGAAATAGTAAATTTTTTTTATTAAAATTGGTAGATATGTATTAAACCATAAAATAAAATATTAATTGTGTAAGAATAATTTTCTTTTTTTTTTCCATGAATAAAAAATAAAGATTGAATTAAAATTTTAATTTTTAATCTAAAAGTTAGATCTTGTATTGTTTTCGTTAATTTAAATTGAAAAATATAAAATCTGCAATTTAGCCTACTTTTTTGTAAGTTTTAAATTTTAGAAAACAAATTATTTTCTCGATTTTTAATTTTTAAGTTTATTCTTTCATTTTGATTGACTAAATTTTATTACTGATAGTTTAAATAAAGTAGTAAAATTTAGATTAAATTAAAGTTATTAAAATCACATTTATCTACAATTATATTTCATAAAAGGTAGTGAATTGGCAAGAATACTGATACAATAGATGCAGTCATAGAACTAATTGTGTGTACTCATGATCAAATAATCTGATTTGTGAATTAATATCATTAATCAAATCAAATAATAATTGTTTTATCTCTTTAATATTTGAACTATTATTAATCATTGCATAAAATAGTTCTTCTATATTTTTTAATATACTTTTGTTTAAATTAGTAATATTTCTGAATAGAAGTGTTAGAACTTAGACTGCCTTCAATCTTTACTAGATCTAAAAGGTTTGATTAATCTATGTAGACATTGACATGTACACACTATTACATTATTTAGAAATAACTAGTGATGAAAATTTAGCAGAAGATTTGTGATTATTCCATGATTTTCGGTTTATTAGCATCCTCGTATTGTGTCTACATATGTGTGATACTGGAGAGAGAGTTCCTGCATTGTCTCCTGAAAGCAAGCCATGAATCACGACCACTCGCTTCAACCAAAAACATTGGCAAAAAATTGGAGACAATTGATGATAATCAACAAAACAATAACGAGAAGGAAAAATTCGTGTCTCCAAGATGAGAATGTACCTGGTAAGAAATGGTAAGCTAAAGAAAAGGAAAAAGATAATAACATAATAATTAAAGTATATACATATAAGCTTGGATCGACATGACAATACCGTTCACCCAATGTTCAGAAAAGCTAGGGTACCTCATTCTTCAGTTAGCAAAAAATTTCATCGTGTATATGGCCATGGTGGTTGCATGCAACGGTTTACATTTCCTTCTAAAGCCCTATTCACAACCTCGCATTACTTCTGACATAGTTGTAAGCCAGCTTCCTGTGCTTATGAACAACAACATGATGCAAGAACATGCAGAAAAGATGAAAAGTTTTTGATACTTGCTGTTTATGATGAATTGCAGGTAGGAATTGTATTGGGGAACATACCTTTTTTACGAAAACTGTTCGATGAATTCAACAGAGCGTTTGGATTTATCATGGATTTTGGGATGATGTGTTACATGTTTGCTTTGGGTATAGAGATGGATCCCAACGTACTGTTCAAACGCCCGAACAAGGATGCTCTGGTTGCATACACGGCGATACTCTGCACCTTCGTGATATCCATTGCAATGGTCCCATTTCTCCATTTCTTCTCACGGCATACAGGCGTAGCATTCACCATCTCCGTCTCTGCTCTTCTAGCGAGTTCAGCATCTCCGGTTCTCACGCGATTACTAACAAATATGAAGATAGGAAAATCAGACATTGGAAAGCTTGTGATAGCAGCAGGAATGCACTCGGATTTAGTCTGCTTGTTGATTTTCTCAATTTGCTACATTTTCATGCCAACCGATGCATACTGCATTGGGCATCACAGTGAAAGGACGCTGAAGAACGCCATAAAAACAATAATTGCGGTGGTGGTGCAGACGACGTTCACGGCGATGGTTTCGCCGATTTTCATGGCATGGGTGAACAATGAGAACCCTGAAGGCAGACCCATGAAAGGGTCGCATCTGGTATTGTCGGTTGCCTTCATGGTCTTGATTTGCTCCCCCTCGACTCTATACGACTTTAGTCCGGTTCTAAGTGCGTTTATGACAGGGATATGTCTTCCCCGTGATGGAAGAGTTTCGAAATGGATTATCAGCAAAATCAACTACATGTTGTCCACCATCTTCTTTCCCATGTTCTTCTTGTGGATGGGCAATGCAGCTAATGTCACCCAATTCAGACCTGGAGACCCTACAACTTGGCTTAGGTTTTTTATACCTATTTTGATAGTCGTCACAGGTAAAATTGTTGGCACACTCATTTCTGGGGCAATACTTGGATTTAACTGGCGGGAATCTATTTTAATCGGATTGCTCCTCGTGACCAAGGGCCATTTTCAAATCTACATGGCAATCAAAGTGGCAAGTATTTTCCTGATTACTTGCATTCCAAGTGGTACCTTTTATCATGTTGACGTTTCCATCCTTGATTTCCATCCCTGATCCCTAATTGTCTAGTGAATTAGATGCATGCAGCATAAAGAGGGCATTTTTTTCATAATTTTAACAGAAATCATGTTTAGCAATGAAAATCATCTTGTGAATTGATTATCATTCTCTTGTATTACCAGCTGACTTGTCGCATCAAAGATGGTGCCGACTCGTCGGGCCTTCTGTCGGTGGCATCGATATTTTTCTCAGTGGTGCATGCCCCTGCAGTTGTGACACAGATCATCAAACGTGCCAGGAAAAGGGCACCTACTCACAGCAACGCCCTCCAATTGTTAAAGCCATCAAGCGAGTTGAGAATATTCTTGTGCCTTCACGGACTTGATAATGTTCCTTCTTCCATCAACTTCATGGAGATCTCAAGAGGGATATCAGACCCTGGCATGGTAATATATGTCGCAGAAATTATTGAATTAACTGAACATATATCATCAGTTATGCAGAATGGTGAAGGAGTACAAAGTAATACTATAAAAGACAAGGCCGTGGTAGAGATGAGAGAACAAATAACGAACTTGTTTCAAGCGTACATCGATAATGATGGAGATGGTATTACTCTCAAGAGAGCGTTGGCACTGTCAACAATCAATAACATGGCACAGAACATCTGCGTTTTAGCAGAGGACTTGATGATTGCCCTCATTATACTTCCATTCCACAGGAACCAGCGTCAGGACGGAAAATTGGATGGTGGAAATCCAGGCTTCAGACATGTGAACCGAAAGGTAATGTAATGTCATTGTCAGGGAAATAAATTCTTTTTAATATTATCTCAGAGAGCTTGTAGTTTCTGCACTGATAGACATTTTGTTGAACAGTTATTAAAGAACTCTCCTTGTTCGGTGGGAATTCTAGTGAACAGAGGTTTTGGGTCAATTGGGAAAATATCAAGGTCTCAGCAATCAGTTAAAGTAGCAGCAATATTCATTGGCGGAAGAGATGATAGAGAGGCACTTTGTTATGTGGGTCGTGTGGCATGGCATCAAGGAGTACACGTGACAGTGATAAGATTCCTGGTAGATACCAGTGCAGAATCTACAAGACTGGCGGCTTATAGGGTCAGCCTCCCAGAGGAGGAGGAGATGGGATTGGATGATGAATGCTTTGCACAGTTCTATGAACAGCATATAGTTGGAGGTCGCATTGCTTATTTGGAGAAGCATCTGTCAAATGCATCAGAGACCTTCTCTACTCTTAAATCATTTGAAGGAGAATACTCACTTGTCATTGTAGGAAGAAAAGCTGGAGCAAACTCCGTATTGACAAAGGGTATGAATGACTGGCAACAGTGTCCAGAACTCGGACCAATAGGGGACGTTCTTTCAGGACCAGACTTTTCAAAGTCAGTTTCTGTATTGATAATTCAACAACACAAACTTAGAGGAGAACTAGATGGCCTTGACGAGGACTTCACTATCATGTAGTACATGTAAATGGATAGGTAGTGTAGGAACAGATACAAACTGTAGCAGAGAAACATCGAATTGCTAGAACCACTGTGAAAATTAATTGTATAGATAAATGTACAATTTGATAGATTTACTCAGAATGTTGCAATCAACAAAAATTGCATTCAGCATACATGTCTACAAAGGCACTCTACAAATCCTTATAGGAAAAACATTCGACAAATTTAAGCTGAGAAGCAAGTCGAAAGGAAAATTAAAACAACATCGAGAGGTCGCCCCACAGAAACATATCTCCCTACACTATTCGATTTGTGGAATAAATCCTGCAACTAGTTGCTTCTAATAATGTTGATTCTTAAATAGACTACAAGAAGATGAAGAGAACAAAAAACCATTCTAACTTCAGGTAATTAATTCTACAATAGAATTCACGGAAAGTTGTAAATACCTCTTTACCAAATCCATCAGCTATAAAAACCATACACAGATACTTACTATTAATTGCTGATATAGCTATCTCCTAGTCAGTTCATCGAACTTGAAAAGAAGATCAAAATTCACAATTCAGTCGCAACCAAGAATTCCGTACCTATTTGTCACAATTTGGTATGTTTTTGGTCGCTGATTTTGTTGTCAAATCCTGTTTCTATACTTGACTGCTTGAGATTCGGTGAATTTGTAACGTGATTGCGTTGCCATTGTTGAGAAATTGAAAGCGTCAAGCGTTGAGTAGCATTGAAATGGTGCATTTGTTGAGCCGTGATTCCATTCTTGAAGAAAGCGAAGCTATCATTGTTGGCGCTCTTTTGGTGCATGGCGTGCAAGAATTGTTGGATCGGGGCTGCATGGCACGAGTTGGAGTGAACGACAATAATGGAAGCGGTGAAGACGGTGCATCCTTGGCGTGAATTAAGCATGAGATAGCATGCAATGGGTATTGCTTTCTTACGTAAATTGGGAGCAGCTGTTCGGTGGTTGGTTCGCGGTGCAGGACAACTTCATGAACAATTTCGGCACGTTATTTGAATTAAGTGCAAGCGGTGATCTCCTGCGATAATTGGTGAGTGATTGAATTTTCTGTTCGTGGCATGCAATTGAAAACGATGCGGATTTTGAAGTGGTTTGGTTTTTTTGGCAAGGAGCATTGGTCAAGGGGTGCTGGTGCAAGATGAAATTATGAGAAAGAGGCAGTGTATCAATTCAAAATTCGGGTCTTGGTGAAAAATGAAAGCATCTAGGTGGCATAACCAGCATATGCAAACTTGTTCGGTGAAGCAATTTATCGAGCAGCTGGCTGGTAGTTTTGGCACCGTGAGAAAAAACAGCAGTTTGGTGTGTCATTTTGCTATGCATTCGGTGGACAATTCGGAAGCAGCTGCTGAAATGCTGTTGGCAATTTGGTGCAGCAAGCAAGCATTTTTTACATAGTGAGGCATTGCCAAACATCTTGATTGTGCAGCTGGAGGTTTTTTTTTTTTTTTCTGATGAATTGATGTCATTTTAAATCATGAATTGAGGTCATTTTTGTCGGTTTTGTTTGTGAAACAAGTCCCTTAGCTAAAAGTTCCATATAGTTCTTGTAAAGAAGCGGAAGATGATGTATTATTTTATTCTAAATTTTGTAGGAATGAGTTTATCTATTACTGTTATTTTTTATACTTTGGTAAAGGAAAGTGTTTGGATATTGAAAAATTCTTTCATTTCTTTCCAATTCCAAACATTATTTTACTCTTATCTTAGGAATTTATTACTTATTTTATCTTTATAGGGAGGGCTTTGTTATCTCGCACAGGTTGAATGATACATTCTACAAATTCTACCTTTTCTTATAAATATTACCTACTAACATTCACTTTATTCAGTATTAATCACATTAATTAAGACATTAAATAAAACACTTAAAATTATCATGCCAGGTTTACATCAGATGGTGCTTCTAGGAGAGAACAAGACTGACATTTTTATCGTGCTGACTTGAAGTAATTTTACAATAGATTTAGACCATATTATGAGAAAATTCGTTAAATTTCACTAATAATTGCACCTAAATGACTAAAGCATACTCCAAACAATATATATGATTAATGATTACTGAATAATTTTAACCAAAATAATTCAGCCAATATGATTGATTAATCCTCACGAAAAGTCCTCAGCAATTTATATCATCCATACATACAGCTATTTACTAACAATTGCTGTCATAACTGTCATAAAGTAACTGTTTACAAATGTTAAAATTTCTTCAACAGAACCATATTTAACAAATCTCCCAAAATGCTCAAATCCCATTTAAATTCCATTTGGCAGAAGTGATTCACTATTTCAAAAATATCTGCCAGGGCATGTAACGTGACACCATCCAATCAATAGTCCCTTGAAAACTTCAACATCTCTGCCTGCAGTAAGAATTTTGAACATGTTACGACCGGCCCATCAAAAAATCAAATAATAATACTGAACATGATCCATACATACTACAATCATTTCTAAGATGTACTGTTTAGAATGATAGTAATAATGTTTGAAGTAGCTATTAGGTCACCCCATAAAAGCCATCAAGAGACATTGGTAATTGATTATCTGACATTCAAGAGGTTGCATTCCCAGATTAAGCAAAATCTATGTCTGAATCCCACGTGTGGCATTGATGTCCTTAATTAGACATACATATTTCTAAAATGACTCTAGAAAAAAAATATGAGTGGCTGCCATGGGTAGAGGTGTAGACAATGTCAAAAGTGAGTTACAAATACTGAACCTAAGTCAATATCCAATTTATCCATAGAGATCCAAGTAAGCATCGGAGACACAAAAGTGATATACAAATCTAACTTCGAAAATCTACAACTACTTTCTAGGTTAGGTAATAAAATTGAAATGAGACCAATGCAAAACAATGGTGAGGTCGTAATGGCCGATAGTCTATTCAATAGTTAAAAGAGATCCCGAATAAAAAGGTCAGAATTTCGATATACTGCACTAAGAATAAGAAAAAGACGCTTTTACCTCAAAGGCATTCTTCAGATGATCAAGTTCCCTGTCCAGATCATTAATAGACTGGTTATATGCCTGCATTGGCGAAGACTGGCTTGTAGTATGTATCTACAACAAAAACAACATAACAAATAATGCTCAAATAACTATTATTTCCCATAAAAAACAAAAAGAAATAGGTAAGTACTCCCCAGTTCCTGGAAAATAAGAAAGAAACTATAATGCCTGCATATCAAAATACTAAAATAGAGACAGATGGAGGCAACCAAATGGGTCTAAAACTATGAAGCAAAGGCACTGCCAAATAGTGAACATGTTAAGTCGTAAAAAATCTATGTCCAACACTGCATACACAATTAGATAATTTTTAATTGCATGCTCATAATTTTTTCGCTTTTACCTTTTGGACTATTAGATAAAATTTTATTTTTAACATTTTATCAACCGTAGAGTAAGTCACGCTCATTTTAAAATATAAATTCTCTCCTCCAATTCAAATTTTCATTTTAGTTTTAAGCTTTGTACATAGCAAAATGCTGTGAATTATGATTACTAAAAAATTCCATGTTTCCCTGTTCCAAGTCATACCAGAATCCTACCATATTTATGCCCAGTGTCATATCTCTTCTTCTTAGGTTTACACACCATCAGTTCAGTTCATTTACATCCAAATTCTAGCAACAGGACAACAATAGAACGCATCCTGATTTCCAACTAAAGTAGAATTTGCGTCTTCTTATTCTTTACCCCTAAACTACATCTGATCAGAATAGCTTACAACTAAATTCTTACTTGAAAAACTTTCGAAAAGTAGAAAAATAATAATATATATATATATATATATATATATATATATATATATATATATATTCCATGAAAATAGAAAAAATTGAAGCCAATTGATGACACGAAAAACTCGTTATCTCACCCTGACAATGATTTTATACTGAAGAGGGTGGGGAAGCTTGTATCCAGCAAATAACACGTTGGGGTCTCTGTGGAGCTGCCTGAATATCAATTCATTGCAAACAGAAACAGCAGCAGCAAAGAAAAGTTAGGGTTTCGCGGTGATTGAATTAAAATTAAAAATTAAGAGTAAAGGGAAAGGTATTTATACATGCGCAAGATGTTGCCGATGGTGTGTTCCTCTCGCTCAATGGTGAAGGAGGCGGCATTGATGATCTTGGTGTCCCTCTCGTAAGAGACCCTATTTTCAACGTTGTATGAAAAAAAAAATGAGAATCAGGAAATGCAAATAAAAGGAGGAAGAAAAGGATTGAGAGAAGAAATAGTTACTTTTTGGTGCCTTCAGGTACGACGAAACGCTCATAACGATCTGGAGCATTCATAGCTTCAGTTCTTTTCTCTCTATGCTATGTCTGTCTATTCTTTCTTCCTCCCTCCTTCCACCACTCTTCAAATCAAATACCATCATTTAAAACGGGCCAGGCCCAACATGTTCTCTTCAACCATAAACATTAACCCAAAACCTCGCACTCCCTTATTGTTATTCTAACCAAGGCTTAATATAATATATGTTTTTACTGTGCATTATAATATATATATTATTCTCCATGACATGATAGAAAGTAGTTTTTGTTATATATATATATATATATATATATATATATATATATATATATATACACACACACACACACACACATCAAATACACAACTGAGAAAATAGTTTTCATTAGATACTAAAAATAGGTTAATGTTCAAGAGATGGAAATGAAAAGAGAGTATGAGGGCAAGAAAAAGGTAGTTGGAGCTAAAATTGTAATATTTTAGTTATTTGATTAATTATTAAAGTAATTTAATTTTTATAACTAATACAAATTTGTATAACAATACCCATCCATCACCGAGGAGTGATGCACGGACGACAGCATGTTCATTCATGTTGTGATAGCGTCATTAACAAGTTATTTATAATTTGTTTAGACAAAAATAACATTCAATGTAACTAGTTTTTATTTCAATACAACAAAATACTTCACAATCTTGTGTATTGAAATTTGCAGAATCGACTTCACCTGTGCTTGTTTAACGATTTATTTTTACACATGTTCGTGTTATGTTCCTACCCAAGCACATGTTTCTATTTGTTTCAAAGGACAATCTTAGTGGATGCAAGTGCAAATATGAAGGGCGAAAAGGCAGAGTAAACTACCATCTACTTTAACAAGATGACAACAGTTTCATCATTCAAGACAAATATCTCAATTCATGAAGCCTTGAACTCACAAAAACAACTAACAACACTAATCATACAGCTAACAGCTTCGCCTTTACTTATCTATTCTACAGAAATGATGACCTATACACCATAGGTAATCTACTTTGAAATCAGATACATGTAGAAAAGCAACAAAAATCTAACTCGCAATCGAGAGAACCTAAAGCCCAGAAAGAGGACTGAGTAAATGGTTAATTCTTTCAAGAAAACTTAAGTTTGCTCCAATCGAGAATGCTTCACCCAAAAATCAGCGGCAATGTGAGCAGCTA